AAAAAAAAAAAAAAAAAAAAAATCTACTGAGAAGTCCTCCGGGCAGCCAAGATACAAATTAGCACAAGTGAATGGAATTGGAGCTTTAAATCTGGGGCGCGGCTCTGCATAAGTCATCAGCCCGAGTGCCCGGTGTCTGGGAAGAAAGACAAAGCAGATGCGTGAAATACCCAGTGGTGTGTCAAGATGGAAGGATGGAGGGTGGGGCCAGATCCGAACCTCTTCAATTCTAGGGATCATTCAGCAACCTCCCAGAATCCTGGAATCAAGCTCCAGCGAATGGTAGTTATGACTACCAGGATTGATGTGAAAAGGTGTCAGGGTGGTGGTTGGGGCTGATTTGCCATTAAGAGTCTCTTCCAGGAACTCGGGGAGTAACTCGCAGTTAATCTGTTTATGGAAATAAATGGATTGAATTAGAATGTGTGGGTTGGGAAGGAAACACCTCTCACTTTAATAGAACTGTTCGGATTGAAATGTGGGGTTCAGCTCTTAATTTAACAGCAAGGCCTGCCTTTCGTAAAGGAGGGGAGCCTTTAGTCTGCCCAGCTAGTCTGGTCCTAGTGTTGGAACAAGACAAAAGGCTCTTTATCCCCCGGAATGCGCATTCTAGGGGAGGGACCCAAGCAGTGTGAAAACAAACAAGATAATCCAGACAGCCAGGTGGACAACAGGAAGGAGGAGAGCAGTTACTGGAAGGGATGCTAGCAGTGTCTGTGCTCATATGATCAAAGAGCTGTAGTGACATTATACCCAAGATCTGAAGCATAAACAGAAGGTAACCTTGTGGAGACCGAAGGCACACGTCTCTACACACGCCAAGGGCAAAGAAGAGATCACTGTATCTGATTTGTGATTTTACAATAAAAGCACTCCAGTCACCATGGGTTTGACAGGCCAGATGGGTGGTGCTGAGAATATGAAAGAGGAAATCATTAAATTGACTCCCATATCAAGTGTATAATGCTCACAGGTCAGGTGACCCAGTAGACAACCTGACATTCATTCCTAAAATTCAAAAATGTGATAGAGTAGATCTGGAAAACAATCACCAGAAGGTAAGTTAGTATTTTGTGAATAAATGAAGAATGAAGTGGAAAATGGAAGAAATAAAAACCGCTGTTTAGAACAGATGCCTGGAAAGCTGAGAATGTGAGAGTACACTGTGGGCACAAAGCCAGATAAAGGGACCACCAAGAATGAGCTGTATGGGAGAAAGCAGAAGAGTAGATGCCTAGAGATCAGTTTGATGGAAGTGGATTTGCCAGGGTTATGAGATCATCAAGAGTGTCAGATGCTGCCAGAGAGCAAGTAGGATAGGGGTGGGCAGGGGGCCTTTAGTGGGGAGCCATCTTTCAAATAGCCACCCCCAGAATGGTTAGAGTAACACTGTATCATAAATACTACATGCGTCTAATGAACAATGGCATGATCCAGCTGGAGGCGTGGCTCAAAGGCAGAGCGATTGCCTTTCATAAAATCCATACCCAGCACAACTGATTATTAAAAATCAAAAGGAGGTAAATCTAGATGTACTAGTAGGATGAGTAGATTATTAAAGTCAAAAAAGCAAATGAAAGAGCAGAGTAAATATAATAGTGCCATCTATTAGTGTCAGTGGAGGCTTTCTTGTGAGAGGCGCATGGACACAGCAAGAAGTGCATAAGGAGAGGAGAAGCGGTGTATGCCAGCTAGTGTGGCGCTTGGGCACCAAGAGTAGATGCTTAACTGCACAAGTGCCCCCAAAGTTGATGAGATCCAGGGTAGGATGGAAATGCCCCCCATGCATGCCCATTTCTCCAGTAGAACTTGGGTAGTAAAGTTCAGAGGACATTCAGGTGCTAAAGAAAGGAAAGGGTTAGGGAAGCTAGAGAAGATGGGTGTGCTGGCAAAACAGAGAGCTCTGAAGGATGGAGTGAAAAAATCAAAAGGAAGTTAGAACAATGAAAATGCTAGTAGGAAAATAATAAGTAATTAAAAAAATAACAGGTTTATTGGGCACTTCTTTTGTGGTTTTGTCAAGTCCTTCATTTAATCTGAGCAAATCTGTAAGTAGGTACCCTCTACTTTCCGTTTTACAGAAACACCTCTGAGGGAATACACAAAGCCTCACATTATGTAGTTATGCTAGGCACACAAGTAGCAGTTGTCAGAAGCAGAATTGACAGTTTTCAAACCCTGTGCTACAACAGGAGACAGTAACTCCAGAGGTAGGACTGCTCTGGAGGACTGGTGGGCTTATGGGAATGCATTGCTAACATAGAATTAGGATAAAATAATTGAGGGGACAGTTGAAGGAGCTACAAGATGGGATAGTTAGAAAGATCAGGAAGGCAGGCTTTCGTAAAGCACCCAAGGTGTTTGACCAGGAAGGAAAAACCTGGGTGAGCTGCGGTGGCAAAGGCAGTTAGAGGATCAGAGCCAAATGATTGAATCATGACACAAGCACAATTTGTGTAAGAAGAGGGACTATTAAGAAACTTAAACCTAGCTCTACCTGACAAAGGAAACCTGAACAGAGACGTGTCTCCTTCCAGGGAATGGAAATAAAGGCAAAGAGCCACGGCTGTTCTAAATGGTAAAAATAAAGGATGGCGGAGGTGTCAGCCCCAGACAAGACATTGATGTGATCTCCATAAGGCTCAGGGAACGTTGTGTAAAACAGAGCAGAAAGAATGTAAGAACCTCAGGATGGAGGATGGGGCTGGGAAAGAGCAGGATGTAGGGATGGGAACCATGAACTCACAGCAGCTGGGTGTACTGACATAGAAGTCCGCTGTGAAGAGGGAAGGGTCCCACAGGACCTTATCACATGATGCTGATCTGTTGGCAATCCATAGATCCTGTAAGAGGGGGAAGCGTGGTTGAGTACCCACTGTTGAGCCCACCAGGATCTGATGGTAGGTCCAAACTCATTATCACACAGATGATCCTGGCTAAACAACATGGGACACTAAACAAAATTAAGTATAATAGGAGAAAGGTAATTATAGAGGAGGGGGCGGTGGCTAGAAAGGATGAGAGAGCAAAGGAAGGAGGGTAGGTCCAGAATACATAGTGCACATGTATAAAAATGAAATAATAATTTACTAATAAAAACATTAAGATGGGTCTTATCTGCCAGTGACTTTCAGTTGAAGTGGGTAAGAGGGGCATTAATGCATTGTAAAGAATAAATAGTGGCATACAATAATTGCTAAATGAAAAGATGTAGACTGAGTTCAGAGATCTTGCTCAAAGTTGGTTGTCACTTGGTTTGGAGCTAGTAGTCACCAGTTGTGTAGTTGATACTTCCTGGTTATTTTTCAGGGAGATAAAATCTTCTCTGCCCACCTGGCTTTTGGGGTCAGGTTCTCAGATAACTTTGTCTTGCCAGTTTGCATTTTACTAACGTGTGGTCAAACAATCCATAGTCACCTACACAAGTAAGTTTGGGAAAAGAAGAGAAAAATCGGAGTTATTGTTGAGTGTCTGTTATGCTTGACTCATTCCCATGAGGATGGAGAGGCAATATATGAGAATAAATAAGAGAAAGAGTAACAGTGCAGCAGATGGAGGCATCCGTATCCACAGCTCTGTCATTGGGTTAGCACAAGAGTGTGAGCTCTTCTTTCAGAACCTCTCTCTCACGTTGTTGAGCGGGGCTCTGGGACAGGCCGGTTGGTGTTGCTGTCTGGGGTTCTGAGCTGGTGGGGAAACAGGCACAGGCATGAAAAGCGATCACAAGAGTCTGTGTGCAGGGAAGAGCATGGAGCTTGGAGGGGGGCAGAAGCAGACTTGAGCTGTGCCCATGTGTTTCTGAGCCATTTTTCTCCCTGGGAAGAAATAGTCTAAGGGAAAAAAGAATAGGTTGTTAATGTAGCTTCAAATTCAAACCAGAAAGTCAGATGGGTTCTGGATCTGGACGTGGTATAAAATGACTCAGTTACTGTGTTTGTCACTTCTCCAGCTTGGAGATGTTTTGCCTCTTTGGACAGAGAAAGCATTGTGTGGAATGAACTTGGGGCATGTTATCTATGATCCTGAAACTATTTAAAGATTCTTTGTTTGTCTTTTTTTTTGTTGTTGTTGTTGTTTTTGTTGTTGTTGTTTTGTTTTGTTTTAAAGCAAATGAATCCATTACTTAAGGTTCAGAGCCACTCTGCATTGCTCCAGGGGTAGACTTACTCATAATACAATTTGTGTGGGAAGACAGCAAAACAGACCCAGAGCCTCTTGTCTCTGATTGTCTTATCTGCACAGTGAAAACACCCTTTCAGATTAAGTGGAAACAATGGCCACTTGTGACTGTTAGAACACTTTTAGAGAAATACATTTCTAGCAGATTTAACATTTATTGCTTGGACTGGGTAGTAAGAGTGTGGCAAATTACACAGAGGTTTTTCCTTAAATGAGTTAAAACATATTTACATAAATGATTATGTGAGTTATATAGACAACCAATGCTTCAGTATAGTTACATGGCTAATGTCATTGCACAAGCACTATAGGCTACATGCTAGTGAGTCTTGTATTAAGTGTCTGTCATATTTAACCTTCAAAATGTGAGGCAGGCATTGGCTTTATTTTAGAGACATTACAATGACCAAGGTCCCATAGCTAACAGACTTGCTCCAGAGGAGTTAGACTCCGCAATTTGTGATAGCCACTATTACTCATGTTGCTCTGAGTTACCGATTGCTCTGACCATTTTCATGCATAGATTTGTTTCATAATTTTATTTTGCCATCTTTTCCTTTTCTTTGGCATACATGTGCGGGGGTTTGCATTTGCTCAGTATTTGTTATGCACTAGTCATTGCACTCACTATTGATGTCATCCATGAGTTTTATCCTATCTTAAAGAAAAGGGAGTCACATTCTTTAATCCCAGCACTCAGGAGATGCAGATGCAGGTGGACCTCTATGAGTTTAAATCCCAGCCTGGTCTGCATAGCTAGCTCCAGGATAGTCCTCCCTGCAGTGAAATTCTGTCTCAAAAACCAAAGAAAGAAAAGGAAGATGTTGTCTCCTAATATAGTGGCAGTAAAAATCAGAGTAGAGCATGACCTTGGCATAGAGAGTAATCTCAGATTCAGAGCAAGGAGCTGTAAGAATCCACATGGCCAGGAGGAATGAGCTCAGCAGACCACTAGTTACCAGTGTGTGAGTGGACAAGATCCAGGAAGTGAAGACGGTAGCGTTGTGTGTCCCAAAGGAAAACTGGAAAAAGTGCTTGGATGAACTCTCTGGGTGTGTGTTGCTGTGCCAGGGGCTCTCACAGAGGCTGGAGGTCATTCAGGTGCTGTATGTCACCAAGTAGCCATTTTGATGTTAAAGGTCACAGCAGACTCCTGGAATTTCCAGGGTGGGATCCAGAGTTGCTCTGTCCAAGTTCACCAGCCACACCACCCCGTGTGCTAGTAAGGTGCAGCAAATCCTTTATGAGTATGTAGATGGTGTACACTCTTTGGCCAGTGCAACAGCTATGAATCTCCAGAACTTTTGAAGAGCGTTTTTTTTTGTTTGTTTGTTTTGTTTTGTTTTTGTTTGTTTGTTTTGTTTTGGGGTTGTTTTGTTTTGTTTTGCTTTCCATCACAAGAAGACAAACTTAGGGTTGAGGTTGGAGTTCTGAGGTAAAGACTGTCTCATTAATTTGATTGTTCAATATTTTTAGTACTCATGAGATCTCAGGTCAGTGTTCTGGGCACTTGGAATAGAACGAAGAGTGAGATGAAGTCTCTGTCAGAAGTAGCTCACATTTCTAGCCATATCAGAATGCACACACATGCACACACACTCATATACACTTGTGCACAGACTCATGTACACACAAATACACACAGGCACACACATGAACACTCATACTCACATACTCATAGATGCTATGAAGGAAAGTAAAAGTAAATATGAAGGCTACAGAAATGGGATGGGAAGGGAGGGAGTGCCAGTTTATATTTGTGGCCAGACAAGGGTTCTCTGTACGGTTGACAGTGAAGGAAGAATGGAGAAAAAGATAATGTAAGCCATGTGGTCATCTGCAGGAAGAGTATTGTAGGTAAAGAAATAGCAAAATACTGAACATTTTCAGCAGACTCAATCAGTGAGGGGAAGGTAGTTAGAGCAGAGGGAAGGAGAAAGTGCCAGAGAATCAAGAGAGGAACATTCTGGTAGCCACAGGGAAGACTCCAGATTTTACTTGGCATGCTATGAGAAGTCCTTGAAAAAGTGTAAGCAGGTGAATGTCATGATGGGAAATTCACTCCACAAAGCTTGCCACAGCTACCATGGTTTGAGAAGTAAAGGTAGGATTGGCCATTTTTCCAGTAGTTCAGGATGAAATGATGGCGGCATCAACCCAGATCAGGGTGCAGGGAAGCTTGTGCAGGTGTGGTTCTGCTCACACTGGGAGGGGGTTGGGCACAGGATAACCTACTCAGTGGCACAAAGACTAAAGGAAGGAATGAAGCCAAAGCCAAGGTTTCAGTCTGAAGAACTAGAAGAATGTGCTAGGATAGGGAAGGGATAAATGTGTGTGTGTGTGTGTGTGTGTGTGTGTGTGTGTGTGTGTGTGTGTGTGTGTGTGTGTGGTGGGGAGATAGCATGAGTTTGGTCTGGCTGGAGACCAAAATTAGGATGAGAGTGGCTTGGGCTCTACCATGAAACATCCTTTCTAGAACCTGAGTCAAAGGGAATCTGTTCTGAGTCCCTCATACAGAGGAGGGTGGAAGTAGGGTGGAGAGTGTCCCAGGACTAGACAGAATGGTTGGGAATGGACTCTAAACCAGCTGCAAACAGATAAGATAGAGCAGAGAATGGAAAATGTGAAACTGTTCCCAAAGAGCCCGAGGTGGAGACTTGGCTACAGCAGAGCTGCAGGACCCCAGGGGGATAGGGTAGAGGATGACAACGTGAGAGCAGTCAGCGAGGCTTCCAGGAAGAGGCGGATCAACCTGAGCTTCCAAGGAGGTGAACTTTGGCATAGAGACAGAGGGAGTGGAAAGACACAAGGGCAGTGAGTGTGTAAGAGAGATGAAGGAAGTCGGAGCTGGGAAGAACTAGGTGTCCTAGAGACCCCCAGAAACACTACAGGCTATTGCCATTGTTCTCAGTTGTCCACCAGAACTTAATGGTAAGACCCTATTGCTGAAAATGACACATACTTTGATCACAAGGAATGGAAAAGTAAAGTTGGTACTAAGAAGCTTCCTCCCTGCTAACTAGTTTTCATAGTACTGGAAAGTGATATGCCCTGTGAGGTAGAATGATTGGCATGGCAAGATACAACTATAGGTACCTTAGTGGCCTGAATGTTATGGGGACAACCACATGCCTGGTACTGCAAATATAGCCAAGAACCCATAGTTGTGGAGCTCATAGGCCACAGCAGTGAGCCTTTTACAATTATTTTTCTAGATGGACATAGTATCAAGCTGCCCTATAAATTCCTGTCTCTCAGCAAAGCCTGGTGGTGCATACCTTTAATTCCAGCACTCAAGAGGCAGAGCCAGGCAGATCTCTGTGAGTTCAAGTCCAGCCTGGTCTACAGTGCTAGTTCCAGGACAGCCAGGGCTGTTACACAGAGAAACCCTGTCTCAAAACACCAACCAACCAACCAAAAGTCTTGTCTCGCTAGCCATAGATTAGTGCAGCTGTCAGACCTCATCAGAGAAGGTTTTTGTGCACTGGATGCCCATTAATGCAGAGTTTCACAAAGTACAGGGAATTAGTGGCTGTAAAGTACTCATCCACAAATAGGACATCTGTATCATAGCCCTTCCCCCTAAGCCTCAGGAATTACCTCAGAAGAGGGAGTCAAAGTATTTAAGAGCCTGAGGTCAGGGAGGACCTGAGAGCAACACTATGTTTCATACAAAACAGGACCACTACAGTCATGAATTCACAGCAACTGTGGTTAGTGTGTTTTCTGTACCCTGATAACAGGTTTCTCCACTGACACATAAGCCAGGTCAAGCCGATTAAAAAAGTAAAAGACCAGGTTTACTTGGGCAAATCAAACTCCTGGGTGATTCTCAAGCCCCCAGAGATCGAGGAGGGAGAAGGGGACAGGAAAAAAATCACATGGCCGAACTAAATGAGGGGGCTCAAATACCTTGTAGGTACTCGGGGATGTGTCTGCCACAAGCTGGGTTTGTGCCCAGGTATGTCCTTTGGGGTGGGGGTAGTGGGTGCTGGGGCAGCTGGCAATTTCAGGGAAAGGGCCGCCTATGCCAAAAATGCCATGTGGAACTGGGCTTTGAGTGGCTTTTCTATGTTGCAGATTCTCTGCATTTGGAGTTTAGAGAGAGAAATGGGGCTTCCTGAAACAAGCTGGAGGTTCCAGCTGAACAGTGGTTGCCTGCAAAAGATTGTTCCAGTCAACATTTTTTTATTATTTTACATATCAATCCCAGTTACCTCTCCATCCCTCCCTCCCATGTCCCCCAAACCCCCTTCCAATCCACCCCCCTCCACAGGAAGGGTGATGCCTTCCAGGAGGGATCAATAAAATCTGTCCAGTCATTTGGAGTAGGGGGGACTAGGCCCTCCCTCCTGCCTCTAGGCTAAGGGAGTATCCCTCCTTGGGAAATGTGCTCCCAAAGTCCTTTCGTGCACCAGGGATACATCCTGGTTCCACTGTCAGAGGTCTATTAGACTGCCCAGGCCTTATAACTGAGACCCATGTTCAGGGGGTTTGAGTCAGTCCAATGCTGGTTTCCCAACTATCAGTCTGGGGGTTCATGAGCTGCCGCTTGTTCAAGTCAGCTGTCTCTGTGGGTTTCTGTAGTCTGGTCTTGCCCCCATTTTCTTATCTCTCCTCCCTCAGCAACTGAATTCCGGGAGTTCAGCTCAGTGTGTAGCTGTGGGTATCTGCTTCTGTTTCCATCAGCTACTAGATGAGGGTTCTATGATAACAGATAAGTTAGTTATTAATCTCATCATCATCAGGGAAGGGCATTTATGGTAGCCTTTCCACTGTTGCTCAGATTGTTATTTGGGGTCATCCTTGTAGGTCTCTGGGCATTTCTCTAGAGTCAGTTTTCTCTTCAAACTTATAATGGCTCCCTCTATTATGGTGTCTCTTTTTTGCTTTTCCTCTGGTCTATTCCTCCCCTGACTCAAAATACATTGTATGCATGTACAAAATATCAAAAATGTAATAAAATATTACATATACATGCACATACATGCACAGAATCATGCATGACTAGGCTGGAAATCAATCTGAGGTCAGGGATCAGATGTAGAAATGATTTAGAAAATCAGGCTGGGTTGTATCATTACAGCCCTTTGTGACTCAAAGCTGGGCAGAGTAGTCTAGCAGGTGTGGAGCAATGATTAAAGAGACTTACACAGAAAGGTTTTCATCTATGACAATTTCATTGTATCATCCTTGTTTATGTAAAAGGAAAAGCAACTTTCACCTTCATTTTCTTCCACGTTTGTTATTCTAACCAGAACACTTGTGCACAAAGTCTCAGGCAAGAGGAAGGGTTGCTGGCTTGCTATCAGTCTGTGTGTGAGTAGGCCAGTTTTCTTGGACCAACACATGCTAACTAAGACTGGCTGAAGTTCCTTAAAAAGGGATCCTGTCTTTACTGCACTGACCCAGACACCTAGAAGTCGGGTGGACTGTGATCCTGGGATAAACTTTTCATAGATAAACCTTCCCAGGCAGATGAGCCAATTTCCCGGGCATCTGATGCTCTCAGGCCTCTGAACTGGCCTTTAAGGATACCTGCATGCATATAGTACACATAAACTCATGCAGGCGCACACACACACAAGTAAAAAGAATAAAATAATTTTTCAAAAGAACAATAGGTTTGACAACAGAGTGAAACACACCACTGATCTTACTGCTTCCTTGTTCTATCAGGTTGCATAAACAATAACCTCTTACTAAACTTTCATAGCTGGGGGGAATATTTTAATGTATTGTGATATGCAGACCTAATGTCTATGTTCAACTTCATTCTGTTTTCAGATGACAGGTTTTCCCTTACTATTTATATTTTACAAATTAATAACAAAAAATTCCATAACCAAACTACTTTGATTTACAGCTTATGGATAATTGGCCAGGATATGACTTGGATTTATTCACGTACCCACAGCACTATTATGGTGATCTGGAGTGTGTGCTCATCCCTCATGGCATCATAGTGGACAGGTAAGTGCTATGTCCTGTGTCAAAATTGGGGCTGTTCCCTCTTATGTGACTCTTACAGTACTGTTAGGGACTTTCCTTGGTGGCTGGGAAAAGTACTATAGAATAGCAAATTTGAACCCAAGAAGTGTGTGCATTCACTGAGTGAGCTATTATAAACAATACCCCCCGCCGAAAAGCAATGTCCTCCATATTGGATTTCACACTGTATTGCACCTCTTGCCATTGTATGGGAGCAGTGTCTTTCCCATATGTGGTATGCTCCTTTGGTGAATATATGACTTCTATTTTTTTTTTTTTTTTTAAAGATACTCTGAACTTGACTTTTCTTCCAGTGTAAGGTGAGTGAGTCATTCCATGTCTTAGGGTTTCTTTTGCTGTGATAAAACACCAGGACCAAAAGCAACTTCCAGGTAATAACCCATCACTGAGGGAAGTCAGGACAGGAACTCAAGCAGGGTTGGAACTTGGAGTCAGGAACTGAAGTAGAGGCTACAGAGAAATGCTGCTCACTGGCTTGCTCCTCATGGCTTGCTCAGCTTGCTTTCTTATACAACCCAGGACCACCTACTCAGGCATGGCACCACCCACAGTGATCTGAGCCCTCATCCATTGGTCATTTATCTACACAGTACTCCACAGACTTGCCTACAGGCCAAACTTATGGAAGCAATCGTCTCAATTAAGATTCCCTCTTCCTACATAGATCTAGGTTTGTATCAAGTTGACAAAAAATAATCAGCACTCTGTCTCCACTTTGCTATGAAATGAGGCTATCACTAAATACCATCAAAACATTTTAAAGTTTAACAAGCAGGTCCTGTAATGACAGAACAATATGTAGCATGCATGATCTCTAACACCTCACTGTTTATGACATACAGGAGCTCTGATGTCGCTGTTGGAAGTATGTTTTGAATACTTTGTTTTCACCTTAACAGAACTTATCTGACTGACGTTTTCGGTTTCCCAAGCTTTTCTCCATATTCATCCAAGTGACCAGAACTGTACGAAACATCATACTGTTTATCAGTTGTACCATAATACATTTTTTCTTCTTACTTTCTTCAGAATTGAGCGTCTGGCTAAGGATATAATGAAAGACATAGGCTGCCATGATATTCTGGTCCTGTGTGTGCTGAAAGGAGGTTACAAATTCTGTGCTGATCTTGTAGAACACCTCAAGAACATCAGCCGAAATTCAGACCGGTTTGTCTCTATGAAGGTTGACTTCATCAGACTAAAGAGTTACAAGGTAAATTACATGTTCCATTTTCATTGTAGAATTATTAGAACTCATAATTCTTAGTACAAAAGAACTAGTAAAATTATGAAATGAAGTCTTATGTCTGAACACTGAAATGAAAATGATGATGAGTATAGTTTTTTGTTGTTACTGGTTTTGTTTGTTGTTGTTGGGTTTGTTGTTGTTGTTGTTGTTAGTTGTGTAGCCCTGACTGCCCTGGAACTCACTCTATAGGCCAGGCTGGCCTTGAATCTGACTCTGCCTCTTGAGTGCTGGTATTAAAGTCATGTACCACTATGCCCAGCTTGAATATGATATTTTTAATGTACAAAAACACAATGATGATTACAAGAATTTAAGTAATATTCTTCTATTTTTACATATGTGGAAAGATTTGGGGAATGATTCCCGCATTTGTTCATGTGAGTAAAGTCAATGAGTGTGGCCGGTGTGAAGACAGTCTGGTGCTTGCTGGCTTGCTTGCCATGGCTGTGGTGGAAGTGGCGCTGTCCCCAGTGAGCTGGGCTCCACTATATCAATCATCAATCATCAATCAAAAACTGTATTGCAGACTTGCCCACAGTCAATCTTATGAAGGCATTTTCTTAGTTGAGCATCTCTCTTCCCAAATGATTCTAACTTGTATCATTGACATGAAAATAGCCAGCATAGCCATCTTGAGGATGTTCCTGTAATTCTGCCTGAATTTTCAAGTGACACTTTTCCAGTTGCTGCAGTTGGGTTATCATTTCTTAAGATGCAGCTTCTGAATTCCTGATTAACCCAGAATGCAGTGAAGATGTTTTTGTTTTTATGTGGGCATTCTCACCTGCTTGATGGATTCTGTACTCTCATAAAAGCTTCTTCTCTCCTTTCTTTCACCTTAGATTAAGTAGCTGTCCTTCAGTCTTAACAAGACTTTTCCCATTCTCTTGGCCCTGGTCTTCACTGTGTTGGCTTAGCATATAAAAAAAAATCCTTTCTAAAATCCTTGAAGAGTGAAAGTGAATTTTATTGGGGTTCAATTTATACATAAAAGCATCCATCCCTTTTAATATACAGTTTTACTCCATTTCAACAATACCTCTCACCATGTTGGAGTCTGTGATCCATATAGTCTTTATCACTCCATCTGCCCCTTTGTTCTTGGTGTTAAGTTCCTCTCCCCAACTACTGCTATGTTTTCCCTTCTGAGAGTTCTGTCCAGCATCTTTCATACATGCCTAACTGCTTGCCTTTTTATTTGTTTATTTTAATTAATTTTTCAAAGGTAGTTAGTAATTCCTTGATTTTCTCCATTATCTTACTGTTTTGATTTACATCACTGCATGCTTTTATGGTTTTCTTCTTAATGTTTGCTTTTTTTTTTTTCCCCTAGTTTCATAAGATGAAGATTTAGTCCATAGGTTTGGGATATTTCTAGTAGTCCATTATAAACATGTGATGATGTAAGCTTTCCTTTAAGAAGATTTTTAGCTTTAATGTTCAGACTATTTTCTAGTTTCTGTAATGCCTTCCTCTGTCTCTTTTCTTTTCTCCTTTAATTTTTCTCCTTAATGCAGCACAGGGTGGCCTGGAACTCACAATCTTCCGGCCTCCACCTCTTCAGCATATCCTACATCTATCTGTGTGCCGCCCCAACCAGCAGAGCTTTGCCTTTCACTTGCTGGTTACTTCATGTTTCATTTTCAATCACCTACAGGAGGTTTCTAAAGACTTTTGCATTATTTCTGGTTTAATTCTGTTGAAGAAATTATTCTTTGTAACCGTTCTGTCCTTTTGAAGTTTGTGAGGCTTGGTCTACTGTCTTAACTGAAGCCAACAGCCATGTACTCCATACCGTTAGTTATGTTAACCCATGCTGTGCTTTTACTAATGTTTTGGAGCCTTTTCACTATCTAGCTCTCTAAACATTCTCTCTCTATTTTCCCCAAGTTTCCACCTAGAGGCATACATTCTAGACACTTAAATGCCATGCTAAGCCACCCTTATATGATGCCAGTACAGGAAAATGTGTTCATTTCTAAAACAGAGGTGTTATGTTCATTAGCACTTCGTCTTGGTAGAAGGTTTTTAATTGCCATGCTATTTCCTGGGGATGGGGATGCTGTGGTTCTTGCCTGGGGCTCCTAGGGAAAAGGGAGGCAGCAACTGACATCATCTCTTTACCACTGACACTCAGTCTCACTTGTGCATCTTTGTTTCTGCCACTCACCTGAAGTCCTTTAAAGCCCAGTTGTGATGTCTCTTCTCTTCTAGACAAATATTTCTCCCCTTGTCTACCACCAAGGTAATACAAGCCATCTCCGGAGCCATTACCTCATGCAACAGTTGCCTACCTGCTCACTCAGGCAAGATATCCCTTTAATTACATAGCATCCAAAATGTAGGAGAAATCCATAGTCATAGTCTGGCCCACACAAGCTGTCCCCATTCAAAGATGACTTAGTCACTACATCATCAGGCTGGTACAAAACTGAGTTCTTTCACCATGCCTGAGCACAGAGGTCAATAAAACAAAACACTAATAAGTGAGGAGGTGCGGACTAGTTCACTTTCTTGAGGGCAAATGGTACTTCTCCACTCCTCCACACTATGCACACATCTTGAAAACATCTGTGTGATGACTTGAGTAAGACTATACCTCCACAGCTTATGTTTGGATGTTTGCCCCCAGCTGGTGGTACTCTGGGAGACTGTGGGCCCTTGCTGGAGAAAGTAGGCCACTGGGGTTGGGGTCGTGCTTTGAAGATTATAGTGTGAGCCTCGTTACTGTCTTGCTCTCTCTGCTTCCTGGTTTGCTGTGATGAGAACAGCCCATGTCACATGCTCCAGTTGATCAGCTCCTCTGTACCTTGGGGACTACAAGCCTGACCACACATCCTTGTTCTTATGTTTCTGTCAAGTATTGTGGTCATTATGACAACACCACCACCAGTCTGTTAATCACTCTGAAAATGCCCTCACACACACACACACCCACAGATGGATGTCTCTCCAGGATGACTCTAAATGCTGTTATGTGGAAAGTGAAGAGCAACCACCACACCTTGTTTCCTGTTGTCTGATGAAAACCAGGGTAAATTTTGTGTGAGAATGGATGACAGTGATGATTCAGTACTCTTGCCTTTCAGAGCCCTGGGTAGGAGCCATTTCCATCTGTGTCCTACAAAAACAATGGTGTGATTCTGAGACTAGCAAGAAGAAAGTTTGCTTCTCTCTTCCGAGCCCTCGGCCTCTGTAGGTTATGTCAGGGGCACTCTTCCCAAGGATGTCCCATTGGATCTTCTTGTGGGACAGATGGCTCTAAACATCTCAGGGGTCTAGGCAGCCTGCCTTGTCTTTGTTCTTATATTAAACTTTACAGAAGACATGAAATGAATTTGCATGAATGGTAGGAATCTAGAGACTGTTTAGAAATTAGAATGAGACTGATGTTTTTAAAAATATTTTTAAGACTTATTTACTTTTGTATTTTATGTTTATGAGTGTCCTTATGTATGCTTACATGATGGAAGAGGGCATCACATAGAAAAGGGCATCAGATCCCATTATAGATGGTTGTGAGCCCCGATGAGGGTGCTGGGAATTGAACTCAGGACCCCTGGATGAGCAGCCAGTGCTCTTAACCACTGAACCATTACTCTAGTCCAAAACTGATGGATTATGGGCATGGGGAATATTCCTTCTCCTTAATGGAAAGTGAGACCTTGGCAACCTGAATTCCCTAACACTGTGAGCCCTCCTTCCTCCCTCACTCCATCCTTCCATTTTCCCTCCAACCCTTCCTCCATCTTTCCACTGATGCTCAGATAGCACTTCATAGCAGTCATGTCTCCTTTAACCCTATCAGAAATCCTGCTAGGGTTCTCTCACACCTTTCATCCAGGAGGTGAGGTAAATCATACAATGTCACAAGCCAGGAAACTGTAGCAATGGTGCTATAGTCCAAGCCCAGCTGTCTCTCAGACCTGTGTCCATTGTAGCATGCAAACATTTCCCACAGAATTCCTCACAATTTTCCCAGAAAACTTCATCATTTTATAAGCTATTGATCTGTTTGCTAACATTTTAAGAAATCAGTTATGTTTTCTTCTAAAAATACACATAAGAGAAATATTAAGTATGGGTAAATAATTATCATCATTATGTAATAATTTGCTTTAAAGAAGCAGTCAAATCTAGCTGGGCGTTGGTGGCACACACATTTAGTCCCAGCACTCAGGAGGCAGAGGTAGGTGGATCTCTATGAGTTCAAAGCCAGCCTGGTCTACAGAGTAAGATCCAGAACAGGCTCCAAAGCAATACAGAGAAACCCTGTCTCAAAAAGCCAAAAACAAACAAACAAACAAACAAAAAACCCCAAAAAAACAATCAAATCTGAAACTCATGTATAAAAGAAAAGAAATTACATGTATGATATTCCATATGCCCACATGTGGCTGTGTTCAGTAGATTGTTCTGTAATATTGACAAAATTTATATTACTATTCACCATTATTTACTTTATTTAATGAGAAATCAAATCCATTACCTCTCTTTCGAGTTTACTTGCCTGTGGGCATGCACAGCTCATCTGCTAGAATGCAAAGGCCGTTGTGTCTTGTGACCATCTATTTTCTACCACAGCTTTACATATTTAAAATTTTAAAGCCTTTAGTGTATTTTTCTTAAACTCCAACACATGTGTGTTCACAGTGAGAAAACGAGAGTGTCAGTTTTCTGGACTGCTGTGGGTAACTGGAAGTCCTTCTCTTATAAGCCTCTAAAAGTGCTAGGGGAAACAGGCTCGGACAGCATTGTAAGTGCTTAGTGGTGCTCACAAAAAGCCAAGAAATATACAAGGGCCAGAATGAAAAGCATGATATCGGCAGAAGTGAGTGAGGCTGGAGTAAAAATGCATTCGTTTTGTCAGTCTGGTTTTAACACTCATGTAGAGACAGATGAAAACGTCTTGGATTCAAATAAAATTGGAAGCTGAATGAGACCCTCTAATAAAATAGAATCCT